ACCAACAACAACAACGGCTCATTACCTGTCTGCCACAAGGTCTGTTTATATTTGGTTCTTACCCATTGAACACCTGCTAAGTCTCACACACATGCACACATACACTCTTGACATCTCATTTTCACATTAGCTTAAGTACTCTTATTAATTTTTCAAAGTTGTTTAGAATATGAGCCAAGAGAGAGACAAACCCATATCCCCTGTAAACGTTTGCTTATGTTTTACTTAAAGCCATTTGCAATTTCTAATGAATTTCTTTATAACATTAAATATTCTTGACATAATAAGCAACAATCTGAGTTAGTAATGTATTTTGGAAAAAAAAGTCTTTTGGTATAATGTAATTAAACTCAAAACTCAGTCAGCTTTATCAGGACTATGTAGGTGTGGTTTGGAAATAAGTGATTGGCAGAGGCCGGCAACGACTTTTGACTTTAATCTCTTCAACTCCAAACTAAAGCTGTGCAACCTGCCTTTGGTCAGACCCACAGAACTTTATTCTGACAGGATAATAGTCATGTCATACCATAGACCATATATAAAAATGGACTACACGTCACCACTTCCCTCCACTATGCAAAAATAAAGCCAAAATATTGTGAATGCTTTTTGAAACCAGATTCTGTGCACTAGTGACTGAGTAGTTGACTGATATATCAGATGTCCAATCAAAGCTATCAAATCATCAGACACACACCATTTTATATAATCAAATAAAACTTGTTAAAAACAAACTTGCATGAAAAATGACCACTTGTACTCAGATTAGTCTGATAATACCATCCAAAAACAACTGAAATCAGTTCTGAGAAAAATGTATTTGATTTGTACCTTGAATTTTTAGTTTGGCTCACATCCCATCTGCTGACATAGAGGGGACGGGGTTTATGACCTAACTGCAACCAGCCACCGGGGGCAATCGAGTCCCAGTGGCTTCACTTTTGGGAACCGTCACGTCCGTATTTATATAATGTGTGTATGTGTCATACTATCACCTTTTATGTGGCAAATCTGTTAGTAGTTCTCTATTTACACATCCAGCAGACACAGAGCAACATTAGCATTCAGCTCACCAGCTGTCTACTGTTCAGTGCTAATTGAATTTTAGAGCTTTTTCACTGAAAACAGTCGCTTACATTATGAGAGCAGTGATACTGAAGCAAAATTGTGAAGTTGTGGGCTGGAAAACCAAAACAATGAGTTAAAAGATGCTAAAGCACCTTGTAGAGCTATGGGGGACAACATAATTCTGTGTGAGTTCATCACTATAAACAACTCATTTCCCATTACACACAGTCATTTGAAATGCAGTTCTTCATTATTCTCAGAGTTAAGGGGTTAAAGTGTATAATGCTTTGTAATACGACTGACATAAGGAGGATACCCTTCATAATGTAGACAGAGGAACTCAGGAAAAATACAAGAAACGAAAAGAGACTTTCACTCTACGTTCCTCATCTTAATTTCACAAATAAGGTGAAAACTTCACTTGGTCCACTTTGCCAATAAAGGCCTTGGAAGTGTCTGATGGTGTGTTTCCTGTGTTTCAGAAATGCTGCTGGATGACTTCCTGTTAACCTACCTGGTGTTCATGTCCACTAATGACCTCTGTCAGGCTCTGCTGGGACAATATCCTTAACTGGCAAACCCACACATGCACACAGGCACACACATTCACACGTTTATCGTTCACCATTACAACTAAATGCCTAACCTTGATTTCAACCTTTACCCTCAAACAGTTCTTTGTATTTGAGAGCCCTCACGGTGTACTCATGATTGGTGGATGGATGTGTTCACTGAAGCACATAGAGACATGTACACACACACACTCCTTAGTTGTCTCCTTGACTGTTCTCACCTATAGCAGTGCTCGCTGCCGGGGACAGGAGGAGGGCAAGGACGCTCTCTTCAGGAAGCGTAAGGTGCTACAGCTGGTGTCCCACTGGAGCAGGCTTTACAAGGACTTCCTGAAGGAAGAGGAGCACGTCAGAAGCTTTATGAAGGTGCAGCACTACTCCCTTTGACTACCAAATCTGATTTTATTTTCTCTCTCTCTCTCTCTGTCTCATGTATATCAGTAATTTAATGAGTTTGATCCTCTGGAGTTCTTTCATGTCACACAGTATATATGAAGTCTCATTCATCTTCATATGTCTCTCTGTCTAGTTCTAAAGTGGGGTTGCCCTTCCTTAAGTTCTGCACAACAGGACACATAGCATTTGGTTGTGCGAAAAACAGAGCTGAAAAGTGTGTGTGTGCATCTTCCCTGATTTTCCTATTAGCTGCTCTTGTGTTAAAAGAGAACTGCGTTTCAGCTTTCCCCTCAGGCGAACCTTATTGATGTTTTTATCTCATCCCTCTGACAGAGAAGCAACACACTGCATTGAGAAAGAAGAGAAATACAGGCACTTTAATGATGTATCATAAGAGGAATGAGAGCATAGTCTTGTGGCTTTATAGTATCCGATAACATGTAACAAATAAAATAAGCAAAATCAGAAGCTGTACAAATTGTATGTTCAATGCAGTATCTATACAGGACACAGAAAACACACACATACAGACTCTCAGTGTCACATTATTGTCATATTTATCACTACAAATGGAAGCCTGTATCTGCTGTGTTCCTGCTATGTTTTCACATGGCCGGCCGAATCCAATTTGAATGCCTGCGACAACCGTCACGCACACATATTACACGATCACACATGTACACATCCACACGCTCACCCATCACTTGTCCCTCTATAACCTAACAGCTCTATTGCTCAGGCCCAGGTTGCCATGGAAACCAAAGTGCGAGGGTTGGCGTGGGTATAATCTCATATGGGGTGCGTAACCCAGGTGATAGTTGCCTAGTAACAGAGGAATGAGAGGGGAATTGGGATGAGAGTCTCCAATGGGTCAATGACAGCGATAAGCAGGTGTGTGAAGAGATGTGTGTGTGTGTACACCTGATATTACGGTGGGTCAATGACAACGATAAGCAGGTGTGTGGAGATGTGTGTGTGTGTGTGTACACCTGATATTACGCACACTGTGGGAACTGAAGCCTGTTTATGCACACACATTGTGTCTTCCTTGTGGGGACCATGTGTTGGTACCCACCATATAAATCTGTGAGTTTTAGAGTGACTAAGGTTAGGATGAGGGTGTTAGGCGAGTAGCGCTTATAGTTAAGATTAAAATAAGTTTCCAGGAAATGAATATAAGTCAATGTAAAGTCCCCAGAAGTGATGAGTGATGTGGGTGTTTGTGTGTGGGTCCTTGTGAGTTCTTACTGTTACCGCCTCCTGAGCTGTCATGGTATAGTGCTTACTAATGCTGTGCCAGGCACACACACATTACAGCTTGTGCCTAGTCGTCTATTTAAGTAGACTGCAGATCCAGATTTTTTTTTTAATTTTTATGTAATCTATGTACATGATGTAATTTATACTGGATAGTCATAGCCTATCTTTATCTTTTTGTCCTTCTTTTAATTTTCTATTGCCTACTATGAGGATTGGAAAGTTTAAAGGCTTGCTCTACTCAAATTACAATGAAAAACTTATTTTCCTCACTCCCCTTTGAAGTATGCAAAACATTTACTAAGCATTTCTATTGAATCCCATTATTTACATGATATGACTAGACTTGGCTATCATAAGACTATTGTTCTTTGGGTGAACCACCTCTTTAAAGAATTGGCATGCCTTCTTTTAGCCATAATAATTTTCATATTGTTGTAATGGGTGGTCATTCAGACACCTGATTGACATGAAGCCAGTGTAAAGTTAGTATGAGGGATTGTGCCTGGTTGAAAGTAAAGCCAAAGTCTGAGAACAACCCAAAAGACATTCAAATGTTATTCCTGCAGCCAGTTAAAAGCTTTTCTAATGGATGAAAAGCAAGTTGTTTTTTCTTCTCTCTCTCTCTCTCTCTCTGTCTGTTAGACCCTGTACAGGTGTGTTTTAGAGGATCTGTATGAGTTTCCCACACTGGAGAAAGACCTTAAGGAGTTCCAGAAACTCCTCTGTCGCAGACAGTAAGTGGGTTTGTTCTCTGTATTAAATATGACTGCTTGTCACTGTCCTATAGGTGCTTTTTTTTTGTTTGTTTGTTTGTTTCCATGCCTACCTGCAGCCTTTCTTACCATTGTGCTTGTTTATTTCTTGTAGCACTGTGGATGACTGTCCTCCAAGCCAAAAGGTACACTTTGCTGCACCCAGGCTACCTCACACTGTCAGCGACATTTTACCAATATGACATCACATCTGGAGCTTTATCTTTCGAATGTTTTAATGGTATAGCTAAAAATAATACCAGCCAAAGTTCCTATCAAGTTCCTGATTGTGTCGACTGAGGCTGACACAATCAGGAACCAAATCAGGTCCCAAATTTAAGTACTGATTGCATTAGTCACTTATTCCAACACTATGAAATCTGACAGTTCTGGAGTAAAGTTAAATATTTTGTCATAGATTAATAATATGCTTTACATTGTAAAATAATGATAAAAAATAAGCTAATGAAGGGTTTGAACCTGAGCTATACAGGCACTGATACAGATGCTGTCTGTGCATCACTATAGTCAGTGATGTGTGCATGCAGTATTATGCATTTTCAAGTTGGTTCTGGTCTCTCTCTGTCAGAGTAAACAAATGTATCAGCAGCTGAGTTTGAAGGAAAACTGCTTGCAACTCCGAACTCCACAGACTGAGACTAAAGAGGGTGAGTAACAGACACAAACACACGCACATGCCTATGCACAACACAAAACACAACACACAGTCCAAGACACTATCCACATGTAATGAGTCTTAATTTCATTGTGCACCTGTAAATTGCTTAAATACAGTGTTCAGTTTTTGTTTTTTTTGTTTTTTTGTCTGTGTACTTGTGAAAACTCGTCTCTCTCTGTAAATACTTGAGTTTTTTCTGCATCTGCTTCATTATGATTTTATAGTATTTCAATATTCTATTTCGGCAAATTACTGTGAATGTTTTCCGTGTGTTTCTCAGTTATTTGTTGCGTGTACGTGAGCACTGACTCCTACCTGAGTGTCCACACTCACCCTTCACTAGAGGCCCATGAGTTGCTAAGGATTGTGGGTCTGAAGATGGACAGAGCAGAAGAAGACATGGTGCTCGCTGTGGTCTCTAACACCGGAGGTACACACACAAACATGCAAAGAAATGCAGAGTACATAGTGACCCAGTTAACATAAGTATTAAATTCCCTCACCAGTGGTTCAAGCCCCTTTTTTTTTGTCGGAAGTAACGTTACCCCCACACCCTTGTCAGATGATATCAAGTGCCTGTCTTATTCCACATGTGTCCTTATAATGAGCCATTACTGTGTCAGTGTTTTTTCATACAATTGAATAGTGATGGTTAAGGTTTCGTTGATTTGGTCAAGTTAGAATTTCTATCTAGGAGTAGTACAGTAGTTTCTTTTTGAAAGATCTAGTTTCTGGATCTTGCTGCTCTCTGGTCTTTCCACATTCCCCTTGGCAAAATGCATAGATGTGGGGAAGTGTACTTTTGCAACCAGGTACCCCTGCTTGGAAATCACTGTTGTAATCTCTTGGCTCTAAAATATTATCATTATGTCTTTCTTAGGCTCTCTCTCTGTTTCTGTATGTATTTGTCTCTGCAGAGCGGAGGGTGTTACAGCCCAGTGACTGTGTGTATTCAGAGTCTCTGACCCCACAAGGGAAGCTCATGGCCTGTCGCAGGGACCTCACTGAGATCTTGGTATGTCAACGCTCTGTTCTGTTTGTGCTCCTGTCAATCAGTAACGATAAGTCTTTCCATGTGTTTCATGTGCACTGATGAGGGTTGTAAAATTTTTCCATTTTCAAATGAGTTTTGGCTTATTTTTGGCTTCAGTCTGAATTTCTGTTCAGTTTTAGTTATTTCTACCAGTGGTTTCATTAGTTTCAGTCCAGTTTTTATTTTATGGACTCAATTCTGTTTAGTTTTACTTACTATTATTGACCAAGGATGCAAGTTGTCAATGACCAGTGTGAAAAATTATGATCACTAATGAAGATATCAACATTTCAAGACTAAACTGCACTAACATGTGCAACACATTTGTTTCAAACTGGCAAAGCCTGTTAATACACAAAGAAAAAGACTACATTTTGAGTCTTTGACCAATTTATGCCAGGCCAATTTAGTCTTCTCTAAACATTCTGCTGTTGCCTCCCAGTGTGTGGATGACAAATGTGAGGCAAACTAAGCAGAGTATCCCTGTGGTCGGTTGGTTGGACCCTGGTAAAAACACGCAGACATTCCCAGAAATGAGTCAGTCATTTTAGGTTCAGCCACCTACACAAAGTGTGACTTTATGGGCCTCTCTTACTATTTCTTTGACTCTCTGAGTTGCACTTTTGACTTTGGGATCAAGTACAACCTTAAATTCATTGAAAGCTTGCGTGTCACATATTGCAATCTGGTTGACATGCTAGTTTTGATGAATAGATTGAGCCACTCCTCTGATCTTTTCAGGCAGTGTCTTAGGTTCTGCTCCTTGCTGGATGTATTGCTAATGTTACCTTCGTTGCTAATACTCTTTTTCCACGAATGCTGGTGACTTTGAAAATTTACTTTAAAATATGTTGGGATTTTTCTTTTAGTTTTTCTGCCACAGATGCTGTTACCTGAAACAATGCATTTGCTTGTACTGCTTTTGCTATTAAATTTGAAATAGTCCCATACAGGCTTGCACTTTTTCTCCCTGACCTCCTGACCTCACCAGGTCTAAATGTTGGTCCTGGTGCTATATCGCCATCTAAAGCTTGTTGGTTACAACTACACAGAATTTTGGGTCCCTTACTGTCTTGAATGAATCACTGTACAGAATGATAACATTTATTTTTTTGTCTTTTTTAATTTTATTTTACTTTTTTTAGCGATCATCTTTTGTTTCATTTTGTTTTAGTTTTTCTTTTTTTGGGGGGGTATATTATTTTATTTCAGTTTACAAAAATGTTTCAAAACCAATAGTTTTTGTGTTCGTTTTCATGTTAGTATATGATAATATCCCTGGCACTGATGCAGGCTGAAGTTGGAGCTTGCAGGTTTAAACAACCATGACCTTTCAAAGATTTGATTATTTGGGTATTTTCTGTTTGTGATGTTGCTGGTTGCGTGCTGTATCATCCTCCAACTAAATCAGGCATGAAAATGAATATTCTAATTTCCCAACTGACATATTTTCACAATGTTATTGTGAGTCATGCATTATAAACAAGTCGGAGACACTCAGGCCGGGTGACTGTGATTAACTTTGACTCAATAGGAGAGAAAAGGTGCTAGCCACGGCGGGATTGGAAAGTGCTGTATCAGGGCGAAGTGTTGTTCTGTAAAGTCGTGTTTTTCACAGTTGAGCTTCATTTGTGAATCCTTAAATAATTCTGTGATATTGGACATTTCACAAATTGCAGTTTTAAGGTTTTGTCTTTTTTCTGGATAGGTATATTTAGCGGCCTGTCTTTAACAAACCGATAGATTCTCTACATTAAACATCTGCTGTTTAAGTAGTAGGCTGCCAGGCTTGCAGTGTTTAGTTTTAGTCCTCTTAGGTTTCAGTCCTGCTTGTATGTTGGCAAAAGGCACTTGCACTAATGCCTCTGTGCTGTAATGCATATTTTTAATAATGTATTGTGAACTGAATCACCCTCCATGCTTATTGTTTGGCAGTTTATTATGAAAGTGAGATGTTGCTTCTATTTATCTATTTACAGACTCCCATGAATAGACAGTGCATGCCTGTATGTACAGTATGTTCTGTATTTTTGTGTATACATAGGTTTTCAGTGCACTAACCTCACATTTTAAAGAGTGTGTGTGTGTATACAGCCTCCTTTAACAGACAGTGCTGAGCTAAGCAAAAGGCCAGTGCGACTCTTAGGCATCAACACATGGGACGTGGCAGCTGCTCTTACACACCTGGACTGGAGCCTCTTCAAATCCATCCATGAGGTATATACTCACTAACACACACACACACACATCCACACAAATATATGCATAGGCTGTGTGCATACAGTTTATAATAAATTCATATTCATGACAGAGATTGCTGGAACATAAGCATTAAAGATGCAAATGCTCTTCAAGATAGCACAGAAGAAAGTCTTCTTATAGCTGATCACCTGCCAGAAAGAGCTGAGTATTTGTACTAAAAATGGTGAAGCAGAGCACAGATAAAGAGAGACAGGCTACATCTTACACTCAGGGAGTGTTTGGTGCTTAATTCCCAGTCTTATATGTGAGCATTTACTGATTTTCTTTCTTTTATATGATGAAGATCAATTTGACTTGGATTTTGGACAGTTGTTTGGACAAGCAACACTGAGATGTTACATTGAAATGTATTAATGGCATTAAATAATTGTGAGGTCACCATAATGTTGGAGGTAGAAAATTATTTTCTAAGTGTTTTTCTGAATGGTAAATGTTCTTATACTTGTATAGCACTTTTCTATGCAATGAAGCCTATTCAAAGCGCTTTGACACTGTTTTCCATTCACCCATTCACACATTCAAACAAACGCCTAAAAAGCCTAATGTCTTCCACTCACACTGTGTCCTGCTTCCACATGCAGCAGGAGCTGGTGTACTACACCCTCAGCCGTGCATCTGGTAGTGGCCACACAGCGGCGCTCTCAGTCCTGCTCCAGCGCTGCAATGAAGTCCAGCAGTGGGTCATGTCTGAGGTGCTCATGTGCGTGTCCCTCAGTAAGAGAGTGCAGCTGCTTAAGAAGTTCATTAAGATTGCTGCTCAGTAAGAACACACATACATACACTCAGACTGTATGTAGAGAAGTATATTTATAAAAAAAAAAAAAGATTTCTCTGTATTTTGAAGGTTGTCATTTTTTGTGTTTACAGTTGTAAAGCCCAAAGAAATCTGAACTCTGCATTTGCCATCATCATGGGTCTCAACACGGCAGCTGTCAGCCGACTCAACCAAACCTGGGAGGTAAGTGTGTCTTTGTGTATTGTTGTATACACATACTGTGTAGTTTAAATCTTGTTCTGACTGAACACCTTCCTTTCAGAAATGTCCAGGGAAGTTCAAGAAGCTTTTCTCGGAGTTGGAGCTCATCACGGTGAGACTTAAGCTTCTTCTAGACAGAGATTACTCTACATTGGTGTTAAGCTGCCCCTTCTTTATTGCAGCTTTGCCTTTTTACACTGACCTAATGTCACGAATCGGTGCATGATGCTGCCGAAAAGGTTTTGGTGAACTCAATTAAATGGCCAGATGAGGAAGTGATGAACAAAACCATCTCTTTAATAAGTGAACTAAAACTAAACAAAACCATACAAGATAAGGTGAAACACAAAACTCACGGTCGGTATCACAGTCCAAGGTCAGAGCCAGCAAACACGTACAGCAAAGGTAATCCAAAATGCGTAGTCCGAAGGGAAGTCCGATAATCAAACACAGTGGCAGTCCGTAGCAAGAGGGCAAGGCAGAGCAGAGTAGTAAACGATCCAGGTCAACACACAAAATAGCAAAACCAAAAAAACCGCTGGAGAGTCAGAGCTGGAGTCTAGAACAATCTGGCAGTGTCCTAGTGGGAGGACGCTGCCTAAATAGAAGTGAAAACTATTGCGAGTGATGAAGAAAGTAAAAAGACCGAAACTGTGGTGAAACAAAACAGGAAGTAATGTCAAAATAAAAGCCGGACAGGAAGCAGCGGAACCGAATCATGACACCTAAAAATAGTCTGTGTCGTTTGTGTTTTTTTTTACACAGTTATCGGCATCCCGGTATTGGAGGTTTGGTAACCATGCCTACAGTATAAAACACACTTCAGAAATACAAAGCATACCATTAATGTTGTTGCATTCAATTCTACTACCTCTCATGGTGGAAGAAAGGAGGGTCAACACTGACTCCCCATGTCGGCTTGATTCCTTCTATACAGAATAGTGTGGCGGGAAAAAATGGTGTAATAATCCCACCTTGAACTGGCAGTGTAAAAGGGGCTCTAGAGTGTGACATCAAATCTTAAAATCTCTGCCCCCTTTTCACCCTTTTTAATTTTCTCCAGGATCCATCTCTGAACCACAAAGCCTATAGAGAAGCCTTCAAGAGGATGAAACCTCCCAAGATCCCTTTCATGCCTCTTCTTCTGAAAGGTATAATTTCTAACCCCTCCACACACACACGCACACACACATACACACACACACACACACACACACACATACTAAGGCTTTGTTGTTTTTTGTAAATGAAACTTTAATATGCCTGTCTACTGTCTCTTAGATATCACCTTTATCCATGAGGGAAATAAAACCTTCCATGACAACCTGGTCAACTTTGAGAAGCTGGTGAGTTGAATCAGTGCCATAACATCTTTCAACTATTTATATGTGACCTTTTTAGAAATTTACCCATTTACCTTGTTTTTAGATTTAGGATGATGATGACATTGTGGTATTGATGATATCAAATCACATCAGTTATTTGTTGTATGTAGAAGCTTATAGTGTTAACGTTTTGTGTTGTACTTAGGGCTTCCTACAGTGTGTTAGTGCACTGAAATAAAGAGTGCCTTTTTTTAATAAAATATATTACGAAGCTTATGTAGCATCACAGAAACTGAGCATCACACAACAGGCAAATATTTAATGAATAAAGTGATTGTTTGAACTGGTGGTCAATCACATATAGTAACGAGTAAATGGGCTAGAAACACAAGCAGTTATAGTCTTTAAAAAGAACGTAATTCACATTAGTAGAAAGGTGTAAAATCAGAAGGTCTGAGAGAAGACAACTGCTTCATGGGACAGTAACAATGATGATTGAGTTGATGGATTAAAGATGTTATTTATCCAGGGGAAAGTTACCGAGACCAAGCTCTATTATGCAGAAGAGTCCTGTTTTCCTTTTAACCAGTGGCTGTCATCTCAGTAAACCATCAATAAAAGTGGCCACTGACACATCTGTTATACATTTAGTTATTTTTCCATAATTTGATCACATGACAGCAGCAGCTCTTCCTCATTTTTCTGTTCTACTTATGTTGATATTTAGAACTATCCTATAGTATTGTTGTGTTGGACATGTTTGCTACTGCACTCATATGACATGTCAACTGTTAAACCAACAGCATATGATTGCAGACACAGTGAGAATGATTCGCCATTGCCAAAGCGACCAGCCAGGTAAGTCTTCTTGTTTCTGATTGAAGTGGCTCAAATGTTCCTCACATAAAAGAAACAGGGGCTCTTTAGCTTCATTATTTGCCTTCTTGTTAAAGCTATTATTGTTTGGATCCATTCATTGTGAGGAATCTGCAGTCAAATTAGTGTACTGCACCTGTGTCTGGCTCAGTTTTCTCTTATAGTTTCTAAGCAACCGTGTCTATTATTTTCTCTGTGTTTGTACCAAGTGTCTATGTTCTGGAGTCCAGCAGAAAACTCTTTTAACCATTAGGCGTGCTTGTGTTTCTTAGGCAATGAGGTCATCGGGGTTGACAGTTCAGAGGTGAGGGCGAGCGTTCACTACCTGCACATCATCGACAATCAGCAGACACTTTTCGAACTGTCACACAAACTGGAGCCACGCGCTTAAGCACACATATACACATGTAATTCATGGACTCACACAAACACTGGACACAAAGCAATGGAAATGCTAGCACCGGGTAACACAGAGGATGCTTTGTACAGCAAAATGTCACGCACTCACATGCAGACTGCATCAGAATCACACTACCAGCAGTGTTGCCAAGTGGACACTGAGGTGTCCTGTCTTCTGAGAAAACCCACGATGACACAGAACTGAACTCTCCCTGTTCTCTAAAGGATTCAGAACACTGAAAATGTGTGTATAAAGGATTTATAAACTCTATATGTGCTCTATAAACTGTCTACAAGAATAGATTCTGCACAGAAAGACAGGTTCAACAAACTGAGAGAGAGTAGAGGAGACTGTAATTAGTTTGTACAGAATCTGTTGGACTGAATATGTCCTTGTTTTTATTCTGGTGATAATTTTTTTGTTATTTATGAGCCTAGCCAGCAGGTGGAATATTTCTTTATCTCTGTCAGTCTCATCACCCCCTCACTGAGGTCAGCCAGGACTGGTTAGCTTCGTCATCATTTCAGTGACAAACACAAAAACATCTGTAGAGGAGTTAGATGTGCTCATAACCTGAGGGCCAACATGTTCCCCAGTGATGCTCTTGTTTTATTTCATTGGCATATCATATATTTGCCCCGTGATCCATGTAGGATACATGCTAGTTACGCTTTAACATACCTACATTTACTTTAACATACCCACTCTTTCATACCTTTGCTCATTGAGGCTCTGTATTTTAGTTGGTATGTGACATGTGAAAGAAGTATTGACTGACTGTGACGTCTGAAGCACTGAAGCTCTCCTAAACATGCCAGAGTTCAAAAACAGATGATGAACACTGAACAGTTGTAGTGCTCCTTTGCATTTTAAAGTCCAGGTTGACTTTTAGTTAAACACTCCTCATGCACTCTTCTCTAGGATGTGAATGTGTGAATAGTCATTTTACATTGTACTGTATGGATATACATGGACCATAACATTTTGCTGTGCCAAATGTCACACTGAGTCTTGCAGCCAGATGTACAGCAGAGCTTGTGGTTTGTTTAGGAATCATCAGTGCCAGAATTTGATTTCCTTGAACAAGCCCCGGAGTGACATCTGGTCCTTGATCAGGTAAAGCAGATCCCCTTTGAAGAGATGCTTTCTGACATTGTGATGACTGAGTTCAGGGTGTGTGTGTGTGTGTGTGTGTGATTGTATCCCACTTGCTCAGGGTTGCTATGGAAACAGCCCCATCATAGAGCTTTTTTCTTTTTGTTTTTTTAATCCTTGAGTTATTTATGTTAACAGATATGTGAAAGCACTATACCACAGAACTTTGTCAGAAAAGCTTTAATCAACAAAATCATGTCCACGAGGAGGTTTGGACACTGATGGTTCATTCTTACTGACTGAAACAATCGCTACATTCAGACACGATCTTGTGTAAACTGCATAAAAATCAACACGTGGTGTGGACAGAATTACTTAATGGAAACACAAGGTCACAGACGTCCTCCATTGTAGTAAGACTGTCTAGTTCATCCATTATTTATTTATAACTTAAATTATGGTTATCATAATCTTGGCCCTCCTGCTACATGATCCTGTTGATTCGTTCATTTGTTATGCAACCTCTCTTGTTCCTGTAATAAAGACTCTAGCTCATTCTGTAGTTCTGAAAAGAAATGCAGCACGGGATGAAGGAAATCACTCAAAGTTTATATTTGTGATGATGATAGATAGCAATTAAAACAAGAAACACATCCTTCAGAACCATGAGCAGTCTTTGTGTTTGTCAGACCTCATTAGTGTTTGTATTATCATGTTGTTGCCTTGAATCTGTTCATGCAGTCACTTCAGTGGTATATTTCTGCTGAGTAGGTGGAACCATCCACAGGTGATGTTCCTAAATGTTACGCAGCATGTCTTGCATCTTTTGGCTGGTTATAAAGCATGAGGGTAAAGTGCAATAGGGTAGAAATGTTGTTGCCACAAGTGTTCATCATCATTTCAAGTCTTTCAGAGCACAGAACTGCATTCTCCTGCAAATCATAGTGGTTCAAGAGCACAGAGTCAAACTTGCATTTCAGAAAGACATCTTGGGTTCATGAAAAGATTCACTTTAAGTATATGTTTCTGTTATGAGCAGCTTAGTCTCTGTCTGCGCATTAAAAACTGACCCATTGTTGTTACCAACACTTCCTGCTAATGCTCTGACACTGACAGTACAGGCAATTTTGTGGACACAGTAATAGTCACTGACTAATTCAAACTGAAACCTAGTGATGTGTTTCATAGTATGTGGATGTAAAATCTAAATACATATTGAGGGAGTAGCAAAACTCCTGAGTGAATAGAACTGAGTGACAGTGTGTTTTATTACTTGTGACTTGACACATTTTGTCTCTTCAACATTACAGAGCTTCATTTTAAAGATGCTTTTTATGAAACTGAGTCAGTGATTCTTACTGCTAGAGCTGATAAGCAGAGCCATGGTCTGTTCATGTTCAGTGCCATAGAAAGGCCTTGTGGTAGTCATTTTTACTATTAACCTGTACATGGTGCACACATGCACAAACACACTTCTGCTCACTGTGTTCAAAGAGCAGAATAATTATACTGTATTAGTTATTTATTGGTTATATATTGTTTATTTGTGTATTTCTGAGGTGGCAAAGTGTCTCAGTTTATGTGCCATGTTCAGAGGTTCAACTGTACCGAAGTGCACGCTTGAGAAAAAAAATGATGTTTATGGTTTGAAGCTGCAAACTAGTTATGAGT